CGCAGCTGCTTGGGGGAGGCCTGCTTGCTGCTGGCTCGTCCTGCTGCTGCGTTTGCTGTTTGCTCATTTGCTGGTTACCTCTGGATTTCTTGAGGACCCATATTGCTGTTGCCCTCCAAAGAATCTTACCCAGTGGGAAGTAGCAGAGAGAACTCTATCTCCTGTCCCCACTAACCTTCTTTCCCTCCTACCCGGTGTTGGGGTTGGAAGGGAGGTAGAAGCCTTTAAGAACCCTAAATAAAGTAGGTTTGATAAAAAAAAAAAATCTAGGTCAACAGATGATGTTACAGTTTCTGTTTCCAATGAATAATGTGAAGATGTAACTTTGTTGCCATTTCAGGACCTTTTTATGCTAATGAGAGAGAAGATGACAGTTGCTGAACTTATGGCTGTTTTGCCATTCAACATTCCCTTTATATTTTGCAGTATTATTTTTAAACAGGTTGTTTTGGATTAGGGTGTTGTGAGTGGAGGAATGTGACTCAGTAAAGCACCAGGAAACAATTTCAAGGCTCAAAATAAACAGCGAGCAGGGGGAACCAAAAGTTTGCCTCCAGATGCAGACTTAGTTGTTTTAATTTATTATAACTATCAAAGTGGTTACAGTGAATGCAGGCCTGGCTCGGAGACACACACCTGGGGAGAAGGAGGAAGAGAGAGCTTAGGAAATCAGTGTTCTCCTTAGCTTCAGGTCTGAGGCTTGCTTGAGTTACACGAGACGTGCCTCATAAGATTGTAACAACATCATGAAAAACAAGGTAAAGATTGCTGAGAAGGTAAAGTGTCTTGAGTAGGTAAAGAGTTCACCAACCAAGAAAGAGGACCTAAGTCTGATACCCAGATCCATGTGGAAAAGAGCTGGGTGATGGAGGCTGGGGCATGGCTTAGCGATTAGGAGCAACTGTTGCTCTTGAAGAGGAGCAGAGTTTGGTTCCCGGAGACCACGTTAACTGATTCACAACTGCTTGTAAGTCCACCTCTGGAGGAGACAAATAATGCCCTCTTCTGGCCTTTGGAGGATCCATACTGACGTGTGGACGGCCACATAGACAAAGACGAAACAAGCAAACATCTAGAAATATATAGCTTGGTGTAGTGGCATGCGCTTGTAATCCCAGGGCCAAGGACGTGGACACAGGAGGGTCCCTGGGTCTCTCTGGCCAGCCAGTCTAGTTGAATTGGGAAGCCCCAGGTCCTAGTGAGAAGAGGTGGCTTCAAATACAATACAACGTACCAAAACAAAACAACGCAAGGCAGGCAGCAAGGATCCTATCAGATTGACTTCTGGTACTCATAAACATGCAGACATAGATGCGGACACTGCCCCCCCCCCTCTTACACACACATGCACACACAAACTCCATATAGACAAAACAAAGGGGATTCAAGGGCAGCATGAGTATGCCCCTGCTTCCGTCAGTGCTGGAAGAGAGATTGCAGGTCATACCACATTTCACATCTGAGACAGCCTCGCTCTGCAGCCAGGTTGGCCTCAGCCTCCTGCCTCCTGCCTCTGCCTCTCCAGTGCTGGGGTTACAGCTATACCACTTGGTAAATCCCTTCGCTTTACAAATGATGAAGCTTTCAGACACAAAGGACAACAGAACTGTGGTCACTTGGTAAGATTAGCAATGGGGGGGGGCTTAAGGAAGAAAGTGAGGTTCTCCACATCTGCTCTAAAAGCAAAGGGGAGTGTGGGCGTGGCCTGTGGTTCTGTAATCCTGGCAACCAGAAGGTGAGGCAGGAAGATGCAGTGAGTCCAAGGCCCAGCCTGGGCTAGGAGTGAGCTGGTGTCTCTTAAGACACATACATACAAAGGAAGGGAGAGAGGGGAGAGAGAGGAAGGAAAGGAGGAAGGGCATTCTATACATGAGAAATGGATTTAATTTGTCCAAGAGGCAGCAAAATGAGTCTGGTAAGAGGGAAGGGCTCAAGCTGAGAGTTTACATTTCTTAAATCCCCCCCCCCCACACACACACACACAGTGTCTCATGCAGCATAGGCTGTCCTTGAACTCTCCCCTGAGTGCCGGGATTACAGATGGACTAGATGCCTGGCTGTGGAGAGACCATAACTTTAGTCCTGTCTGTCAACGTGGAAATGACAGCAGCCAGAGCCAGTTCGAGGCTTTGAATACCAACTCTGGAATTTGACCCTTTATGATCTCATTCTTCATGACTGCTGCTGCTTTACTACTTTTTAACTTTTCTCTGGTTCTAGGAATTGACTCTAGAACTGATACACAAAAGGTTAACCAGCACCAGCATTCTGTCACTGACCTACATTCCTGGCTCACTTACTGTGCTCAGAAGGCGTTTTAGACATTTATTTCCTAATTACCTCCTCAAGAAATTTTAATACAAAGTGAATCTTTGGATTATTTACAGGACAAAAGTAATAGAAATCTAATGATAAGCTCTTTAGTTAGTAGCTAGTTAGTAGCTGTTGCATTTTTTTTTTCAACTGTGCTTTACAAAATGTAAGCCAGTAGATATCACAGCTCAAACATGACTGATTTTGGGGCTGTGGAGATGGCTCAGCGGCTCAGAACACTGGCTGCTCTTCCAGAGGTCCTGAGTTCAATTGTTAGCAACCACACAGCCATCTGTAATGGGATCCGGTGCCCTCTTCTGGTGTGCATGAAGACGGAGCACTCATGTATATAAAATACATAAAGAAAAATGACTGACTTCATTCCCTTAGCACCGAGGAAGCCAGGCCCAACTGAAACCCTGTACACAGCTTTTCAACAGAACCGCCTTTCTTCGGTGAATTTACAATGATGCCTAGAAACAAAAGAAAAAGTACCCCTGTCCCAGAGCGAGACTGAGTGGCAACCCTGTATACACAGAAGCAGCCGACCTAGAAAGCCCCCCTGCGATACCCAAGCATCGTGGGGAAAGGCAGGTGCCAGGACATGGTGGAATGAAAGCCTTCCTCCCCACCCCCCAGCCAAGGAGGGTATATATGTCTCAGTGGTAGAGTACTTGCTAGTATATGTGAGGCCTTGGGTTTTTCTCTAGCATTGCCAAACAAGAAAACACTACACCGTAAACCAAACTAGATAAAACAAACAAACAAACAAACAAACAAACAAACAAAAAAACTAACAGAGAAGCAAAACAAACCCAACTTTTTACAAAACTTACAATGTTACTGTGTTTTGGGAAAGATAAAGTGTTTAGGGAAAAATTTATACACAATGACCAGGAACGGCTTATTCACATTTGCAGATCTGATCCAGCATTTGAAAACTCTTTTTGGGGAAGGTTCAAGAGAGAGAGTCTCATTCTATAGTTCTGGGATGCACTGTGTAGCCCAGGCTTGTCTTGAAATCATGGTAATCTTTCTGAATTAATGTAATCCATCACAAGCTAAAACTAAAGGAAAACTATGATCATAGAAATAAGCACAGAATTACTAATACAATACTGAAGAATACTGTTCCAATTAGACGGGTACCCACAAGACAAGACAGCATGGCGCTCACTAAAGAACAGACAAATGGACAGTGAGGCAGCAATTTGCCAAAATTAAAAATTATGCTCTGTGAGACAAAGTGCCAAGGGAATGATGCAATAAGCCCCAGAAAGAGCAAACATCTTTGTAAAAGCATCTAAAGCTCTATACCCAGAATATACCAAGATCTAGAACTCAACAGGAGGACAGACAATCCAATTAAAAATGGCAGAAGAATCTGAACACCAAAGAATAAGCAACACTCATAAACAGAGCAACTGACCATATGGAAAGATGATGAAAAGATGCTCAGTATCAAATTTCTTGAGGGAATTTGGGAATGAAAACAAAAAGGAAATAGGCAGGTGTGATGACACACACTTTTGATCCCTGTGAGTTCGAGGCCAGCCTGGTCTACAAAGCAAGTCCGGGACAGCCAGGGCACTGTTACACAGAGAAACCCTGTCTCAGATAAACCAAAACCAAACCAAAGCAAAACAAAAAAACCTAAAAAACTAAAACAAAAAGGAAATAAGCCTCCTGTATTCGAGCAGTCAGCTCTCACCCCAAATAGACAGTACAGAATTCTGCCGAGAAGGAACCAGAAATGCTAAACTACTTTGGTTGGCAGCATGCTAGCCTCTTACGGAACTAGGCAGTTGTGCTGCCTTAGCCAGCAGCCACATTGCTCGGAATTAGCCTGACTCAGCTGAAAAGTATGTCCACGCAAAGACTTGCACACACGTTCATGGCAGCTGTATTTACGCCACGGAGCTTTACTCATCAATAAGAAAAAGCTATCAAGTCACGAAAAGACATAAAGGACCCTGAAAGGCATAGCGCTGAGTGAAAAGAAGCCCGCCAGAAGAGTCCATGCATTGTATAATACCAACTCTGTGGCATCGAGGAATTGCCAGGGACTCAGGAGGAGGAGAGAGAGGGAGGAGCAGGTAAAGCATGGTGGGTTTTCAGGGTCCTGAAGCCATTTTGTGTGAAACCAAACGGTGAACACACCACTGTGCATTTGCCCAAACCTTATCATACAAGAATGAAATCTTATTTGAACCACGGATTACAGTAAAAATTAGGGGGCCCACGTGGGGGAGCCCGAGCGTACACGGAGGAACGAAGGAGCTGTACGTCCCCGGGTTCATCTTAGGCAAACCTAAGGCCATACTGAAACATGATTCTACTAATAGTTAAAAAATAAAAGCAAGGAGACTAAAGTAACTTGTTTAGTTAGAATTTCCAAAGTATGATGGGTATTAGAGAGATGACTCAGTGGTTAAGAGCACTGGCTGTTCCTCCTGATGTCCTGGGTTCCATTCCCAGTATACACGTGACAATTCACAGCCTCCTGGAATTCCAGTTCTGGGGGATCCAAGGCTTCCTTTTAGTCTCTGAAGGTCCCAAGCACACGTGGTACACAGAAATTCATGCTGGCAAAACCACCATACACATAGAATAAAATCAATCTAAAAAAAATATTTAAAAAGGGTATTATGTGTGTCTTGACAGAAGTCATTTCAAACAAATTAATATATGGAAAATACAAAATTTTTATTATATTATACTTTGCTACTCTTTTCAACCTTAATACAGTATCAGGCAGCACAAAGCATGTTTCGGTTTGCAAACAGAAGTATTTCATTTAAAGCGTCCACTAACAAACTCCCCCTCATACACTGGAGAGATTGAATTAAATGTCTTCTTAGAAATGCCATACCAGCAATTTTCTGTTGTCGTTTCTAAAATGCGTACTTCCAAAGCTCTGTTCTTACTTTATGGAGGTGTCCATGGTGCTCTCAGGTGTGGACAAGTCTCTGCCCCTCCTTCAGAGGCAAACAGCCACACTTTCTGCCTCTGGTCTTGAAGTTTATGGGCAAGATCTAGCTCCATAGGTATGAACAGAAACACAGACCTGGCAGGTGACATCGATGTCTGCGCTGAACGTGCCGGGACTGCAGACCACTGCAAGGCAAGGCGGGCTGTCAGTCAACAGAGCTTCCAAGGCCTCGTGTCAACTGCACAAGGGAGTCTCCGGAGCACACCCAAGGTGCTCAGCCAACCAAGTTGTGAAGAGTCCCTCAAGCTTTGGGGCAGTCTTAAACACAGGTGTGAGAACGCTATTTTTTCCTCTCTCTCAGTGTTTGCAAGGCCGCCTCTGTGCCTCATTTATAGGGGCCTGTCTGCAGTGTCTACCTGTTGCTTCCCCAGTCTCTGTCTCCCATCCTGCTGCTGCCCTGCATCGAAGTGCTTTGCAGTCCAGAGGAGAACGGTACAAAGGATCTACAACAGGGTGACCGTATTTAGAAATCTGGGCTCTCAGGTTTGTTTTTTTTTTTGCTTCTCTTTTCTGGGGAAGAATCAATGAAAAAGACCCAGTTCAGTAATCCTAGGTGAGTTATTTGCCTTTTCTCTGGCGTAGGCACACATTTAGGTATTTATAGTTACCGCAACAGCTGGCGCAGTTGCTGTGTAGCCTTTCGTTCTTCCCGAAGCCGGGTCGGCAGTTATCCACCCGCACTATCTGGAAACTGTGGTCCACAAAGTGCATGGCTGGTATAGTTTTATTAAAGCGATGGTACAAAATATATGCTTGGCTCCGAAAAAAGTCCTCTATCCGGTCTCTTGCCTAAGATTTAGAAATACCAGAGAAAAGTGATAATTACTCATTCATTCAATAACCAAACTCCTTCTCACGAATCACAGGCCATAAAACGAAGCAGAAATATTCCTTGCTCATGCATTCGTTGAAATCCTGAAGATCTGTGTTAAAGCCTAAAATAAGAGCTGGGCACAGTGGTGCACACCTGTAATCCCAGTGCTCTGGGAGGCTGAGGCAGGCTGATCTCTGAGTTCGAGGCCAGCCTGTTCTACAAAGCAAGTCTAGGACAGCCAAGGCTATGCAGAGAAACCCTGTCTTGAAACCAGCACCACTTGCCAAAAAAAAAAAAAAAAAAAAAAGCCTAAAATTAGTCAAGCTCTGACTTTACTAATTATTGTTAATTTATACGAGGAGTGGCTACGGGAAACAGTTACACTTTTTTTGGGGAATGGCTTAGCTGGCCATGCACTTTCCTTCCTTGTAACCCCACTGCTGGGGAGGTGGAGGCAGACAGAGCTACGGCTCTGTTGGTCTGACAGGCTAGTCTAGGAGGAGAGGGCGTTCCTGAGACTGACAGCCAACAGCAGCCTTCACACACCTCTATGGCCCTGCACATACACAAACCAGCATACATACATGTAGTGAGATTTCTAGAATTTTGGTTTCTTTAAAAAAAAAAAAGAAATATTGTAAGAATGTGTTTTCATTTTAATCCCAGGTGTGGGGATACGGGGCTGCTTCAGACTGTCCACAGCTGCAAACTATGATTTGCCTCGTGCTCTAGCAGAGGCGTGGTTTTGCCAGCTGCAGATGATTTCTGCGATTGCGTGATGTTTGGAATTCTGGGAACTTTTCAGAGGGCTATGAATACTAGGGACAGGCAGGGTTGTTGGTTGTTCAGGGGGTTGGTCACAGTTTGTTAAGTCGTGCCAAAGAAGAAACAATAGGAAATTAGATTTAAGGATCTCTATTTGTCTCCTCCCTCTTTCCTATCTAATGAAAGGGGGTGAAACTGAGGGATAAAGGGTGGGAAAAAGGAAGAACCCACAAACTTGCATAAACCAGCTACAAGCAAAGAAGAAATTAGATTCATGGATCTCTCTCCCCTCTATCCTTCTTTATCTTCTATCTAGTGATAAGGGGTGAAATGGGTGGTGGTGGTGGAGGGGAAAGAGGGTAAGAAAAAGAAGAACCCACAAATATTGATACACATGGATAAACGCTTGCTTTGACTAGTTTGTAAAATGTCTTTTTCATACATAGAGTAACCAGCAGTATAAACTGGTTGTGTGAACCTGGCCTTTAGTACTTCATATAAACCACACACACACCATCACAAGCATGGAGCTGGCGATGGGAGAACATTTTCCATATGGAAGAGCCCCAGACTTAACCTATGATAACTTGATTATGAAGTTTTTCTTCAGGCCATTGATTAACTTAGAAAATGAAGCCAGGTGATGGTGGAACACTCCTTTAATCCCAGCACTTGGGAGGCAGAGGCAGGTGGAGCTTTATGAGGTTGAGGTTAGCCTGGTCTACAGGGTGAGTTCCAGGACAGCCAGGGATACACAGAGAAACCCCACCTCAAACAAAACAAAGAACCCCCTCAAAACCAATAAGCAAAACCCCAATTGACTAACCAACCAACAAACAAACCAAGGACCCACCTTTCTGCCATAAATAAAATATGTAATACAAGCCTGGGGAGCTACGTAATTTTCAGAGGTTATATGTGTGTGTGTGTGTGTGTAGACATAACACATGTTATGTCTACACACACACACATACATAAATACACACACACATATGCTCACATACCAACAATCTCCACTCAAAAGGCTGAAGCAGGCTGGGGAGAGGTTTAGTGGGTGAAGCTGCTTGCCACCAAGCCTGACTACTTGAGTCCCCCCACCCCCGAGGTCCACCCAGTGGAAGGAGGGACCTGAGTCCTGCAGTCTGTCAAGGAGCTTATCTCTGTGTGCTAACCACTTCTCCACAATAAAGACATCTCGGGGCTGTCGAGACGGCTGAGAGGTGAAGGCGGGACACCAGATGACCTGGTTTGATTCCTGGAACCTACACAGAGGAGGGAGGGAACCAATTCCTACCAGTTGTCTTCTGGCCTTCACGTGTCTGCTATGGCATGTGTGGAAGTGTGCAAATGTACACGTGCACACACATCCACAGACAAAACTTAAACAATTTAAGAGTAACATTTAAACAATTCTTTAAAAAAACCAAAGCAGTGTTGTTTCTCTCTCTCTCTCTCACACACACACATACACACACACACACACACACACACACACATACATAGAGTGTATGTTTGTTTTATGTGTGTGTATGCATACCACGGTTTGTGTGTGGAGGTCAGAGGACAACCTGAGATGGATTTTTTTTTCCTTTGGAGATAGGTTTTCAGGTATACCAGGCTGGCCTTAAACTCACCGTGTAACTAAAGAGGGCCCCGAACTCCTATTGATAAGAAAAAGAATTCGCCAAGAGCGTAGGGGCCGGGCACCGCCGGAGCTCACCTTGAGGATATTGTAATTGGTGGCGTCTTCACAGTCGGCAGTGTTGCTGCACACACTTTTCCAGCCTGGTGCAAAAGGATTCACTGGAGAGGAAAACACGACAGGTACACACCAGCTTCTAATAAGTGCCAGCGATTCAGTAAAGCCCCAAGCGCTTTGGTTGGTGTGCAGGCAGACGTGCGCTGAGCCCGGCTAGCCAATCGGAATGGCAGAGCGAGGCATACCGTTTGACTAACACATGCACTGCGACTTTCCTCCATCTGGGGGCTAATGGAAGTAACCTCAGAACTTGAAGATAGAAATATATTGGATCTGGTTGCTCCCTCAAAAAAAAAAAAAAAAAAAGAAAGAGAAAGAGAAAGAAAAAACCCACCATACCTAAAGTTCTATAAAAAATTATAAGGAAAAATTTAGCTGCATAGTTATAGGTCATGTCAATAAAATGAAACTAACTTTATTATTTATTAATTTTTGGCTTTTTGAGACAGGGTTTCTCTGTGTAGCCTTGGCTGTCCCGGACTCATTTTGTAGACCAGGCTGGCCTCAAACTCACAGCGATTCGCCTGCCTTTCCCTCCCTGAGTGCTAGGACTACAGATGTTTGTCACCATATCCAGCTATGATACTGATTTTAAATGATAATATCATATTTGAAGGTAAATTACTAGTTTGATGACTTTTAAATCACAACCAGGCTATAGTGTGTATCAATGCTTAGCAAACACTTCAAATCTATTATTTATGAGACATCTCATGTTTATATGGCGATTAACTTTATAATCTATCATGGTTTTGAACTAAAGTCATAAAATTAATGCTGTAAAATTTTCACCTTGAAAGGCTATGAATAGCTCATACACGATGTCACGATTTGGAATTTTAACAGAATGGCACTTATATGATGGTTCTATGACATGGCACAACAAATCAGAGATCAAATTATCCAAGATTTTCTTCAGCACTCTAAAGAGGAGGTCATTATATCTTCCTACACAAGATTTTGTGGTAAAGCGCACAGCCATGTGATAAGAATAATCAGGTTCCCGATAGGCTTTGGGGAAAAGTGAGAACAAAAACAATTTCGTCTTGCATTAATTTCTGCAATTAACACATTTCAAAAACATCAAATATCAAACATCATTAATCTTGCAAATCAGGTTAGAAATTGTACTTATCTAATAAAATGCTTTATCCCTCTGTTCACAAAATACCCGTAACTAAGAATTTTAATTAAAAAAAATGTCCCTGTCATTAGAGGTCTGTCTACTTAGGAGAAACGGCTTTAGTGGGGCAGCTACACAGGTAAGCTAACAGTATCAAGAAAAAACATCGGGGCTGGAGAGATGGTTCCATAGTTAAGAGCTGTGGTTCCCAGCTCCCACATCAGGTGATTCACAGCTGCCCATAATTCCATCTCCAGGGCATCAGGACCCCTCCACTGGTCTCTGCTGGCACCTCCACACACATGCACATACCCCCCCCCCCGCCCCACAGACACACACACATAATAAAATAAATCTTGGAGGACTTATATGTACTTATATTACTATATTATAATTACATAAATATATTATTACCAAAGAGCATAAAGTCATATCTCTTCTTTACTGTAGTTTCTTCCTGGGTTTCTGCTTTGATGGTCTTATAGGAAAGAGTACACGTGTAAAGTCCAGATGACAACTCCGTAAAATCCTTCACGACCAGTTTTCCTGAGTCTGTTATGTTTATCTGGCTATTCCCTAACCAGAAAGAGGAAATTACTTGATTATTCAACAGGTAACTTAAACCTTATTCAGAGTCAGGCAGTGGTAGTGCACACCTTTAATCCCAGCACTCAGGAAGCAGAGGCAAGCAAATTTTTGAGTTTGAGGCCAGCCCAGTCTAAAGAGTGAGTTCTAAAACAGCCAGGGCTACAAAGAGAAAAACCAAACCAAAACATTAAATTCAAAGCTATAAACAAACATGCAAAAAATATCAAAATTAATAAACTATTTCAACTTCAAGAACCCAATAATTTTTTTTTTTTTTTTTTAAGACAGGGTCTCACTGGATAGCCCTGGCTGGCCTGAAACTCTAGATTAAGCTGGCCTTGAACTCACAGAGATATGGCTGCTTCTGCCTTCTGTGTGCTGATTTAAAGGCGTGTAGCACCTTGGCCAGTATCCCAGAAAAACAGAACAAAACAAAACAACTGTCATATTACTCTACAGAAAAGCTACAAGAGCTAGGTGTACTTGTGAAATCTATGTTGCTTTTCTTTACTTCTTGGCATCTTGTTTGGACTGATTTATGGCAGTAATTCAGTAAAAAATAAATAAATAAATAAATAAATAGATAAATAAATAAATAAATAAATATATATGATACAAATTAACAATGCTGATATCCCAAGGTACTATTCTAACATGCAAAATTACATATTGATCATGTCACACTGCTGGTGCTTCATGGGTAAACTTTAATACTTATGAAAACATTTCTGAGTAGCTCTGGGAACTAGGGTACAAAATTAACTGCCTTAGGGTAGCAGGACAGCACAGAGGAGGGGTGCTTGAGGGGGACACCCTGGATTCAGTTCCAAGCACTGGGGAAAAAAAATAACAAAAAACTATCTCTTTGGTTAGCCCAGGCCATCTTCAAACTTGTAATTCTCCTGCCTCAGCCTCCTGAGTGCTGTGCTCACAGGCCTGTGCTAACCTGTGAATCTGCTTTACTTTCTACATAGGAAGAACTTAAGTCACAGCCCAAGGGGGAAAAAAAAAGTTGTTTAAGTGTTGAGCAAATTTAATTGCAGTTAAAATTAAATTTATTGGGGACAGAGAAGTTGCCTGGTGTTGCTTTTACAGAAGACCTGGGTTTGATTTTCCAGAACCCATGAGGTGGTTCAGAGATCTCAGTAATTCCAGTTTCATGGGACCGGCTAGCCTCTTCTGATCTCTGGGGGCATCAGACATGAAAGAGGTGCACACACACACACAGGCATGCACACAAAACACTTGCATACAGAGAAATAATAAATTTAATAAGTTTTAAAAATTGAATTTGTTCTTTTCAATACCAACAGCACATTTAAAAAACAGTGTTCACATCATTAAAATATATTAAAATTATTTACCTGTTAATGTATTTTCATTTGGCCCAATCCATAAGTAGGCAGGGTCCACTGTTTCTTTATTAGCACGACTAAGATCCATACAAATAAGGACAGGGCTATTCTCATTTAACTTTACGTATATTTTCACTGTGGCAAAATAAAATTCCGCATAACTGCATTATACAGCAAAATGAAGAAACACATTCCCATTGTTTTGTCTCAGTGATACCAACTAGTTCTTTTTGGATTTTGGTATTTACAAAGTGGCTATAACATGTTGGATGCTAGTTGTCATTTGGGATGAAGTCCTTTTTGCTTCTGATTTGTTTCTGAAGACAGGGTTTCTCTGTGTGGCCTTGGTTGTCCTGAACTCGATGTGTAGACCAGGCTGGCCTCAAACTCACAGAGATCCACCTGCCTCTGCCTCCCTGAGTGCTGGGATTACAGGCGTGGGCCAACAAACCTGCCTCTTTTTGCTTCTTATAGTAGGCCTTTAAATTGTACTTTGTCATATTTTTCTTTATTCTGAGACAGTCTATAAAAAACGTATTTTTTTCTTTTTAATATACACATTTATAAATGGCTTTTGAAATAAGAAGCCTTTGAAGAGATTGTGGAATGAATGTTCAGAGGACGTGACCTTGACGGACAAACTATTTCAAAACTGAAAACTTGGCATTTTCCTCATGCTTCCTGTTGCCCCTGCTAGAAAGGTGTTCTACAGCGACCTACACTGACTCAGTTCGATAGTACGTGGTCTCACAAGATCTTTATTTTTAAGGCCCAGTCATTGCCAGGGTCTCAATCTATAAAGACTATTGTACAGTTTGGCCGTGTAGCGGTGGCGTTGGGGAGGGAAGGGCGCTTAAACGCGGAGATTGTCCTAAACACAATACGACGTGGCTCAGAGTTATCTCAAGGCACCTGGATGGCGAATTCTTCCTGGGGAGCGTAGGAGAGTTAAACTACAGACAGTAGCATTAGAGCTTAAGTGAGTGGGGCCGGTTGACACAAGAGGGAGAGAGGACGCCCTCCCCGTTAAGCGGCTTCACTCAACACAAAGTACAAGCGTTTGAAAGAGAGGTGCTCTCCGGGCAGTGGATCTGTGGTGACGGCTGGGACAGAAGACTAGCGTCGCTCGGGGGATGAAACCATACAAACTCCCCGACCTGCAGGGCCAGCTCCCTCTCCCCTCCTTGAAGAACCCAAGCAGGTGCATCCTCAAGCTCCTGGGACAGGCCTCGCCTGAGAAGCGGCATTTATTACCTGGCTGTCCTACCGTGCCGTAAACAAGGCCTTTCTTACTGAATAAGGAAGAACGCTGCGATTCAACTGCGGAGGGAAGAAAAACCTCTGACATGTTAGTGTTTAGAGGACCCGCGGTTCAGCGGGGGTCGGGGCGGCGGGTCGCGGGGGTAGGGTGGGGAGGCGAAGGCGGAGGAGGAGGCGGCGGAGGCGGGACGGGGGCCCTCAGGCGGAGGGGAGGGGCCTGCGGGCCAAGCCCCACCTCCTACGAGAGACCAGAGCACCGCGGAGAGCAGGGCCCACGCGAGCATCACTGCTCAGGCGCTGGCGGCGACGGCGGAGCTCTCTCCTACCTCAGGCCAGGCCCAATGCCTCCCCATCGCTCCTCTACAGAGCGAAGCAAACCGCCGGGGACATTCCCCCTACCGGTCCCTGGGTACCACGAGGGCGGCTGCTCCCGAGAGCGCCTGCGTGTTCCGGCCCGGCGCGAGGGGCGGGGCGAGTGCGCGCAGGAGAGCCCCGCCCCCTGGCGCAGGCGCAGTCGGGGAGCGCCACGCCCTCCCAAGCCTTTCGCACCTGGCTTCGGGTGCCACGTTCCGTTGATCTCGCCCTGATGGGCCTGGTAGTGTGAAGAGAGAGGAGAGGAAACGAACTGAAGATTTCCGGGGACTTCCTCAGACTAGGGGGCTAAGTAACTGACTTAGAACACAGTGGGTCCCGAGGAGGGCGGTGGCGCCCAACAGCCGGGGGATGCCAGCGCTTGGGGATCTGAAGAAGGGAGAAGTTTGTGAAAATTTCCTCAAAGCGAGGGCCCAGCTCGGGAACTCCCTAGTCCTGACAGAAAGCTAGAGTTGCCGGATTAACCCAACTGCATTCTTCTGACACACAAAACTAAGACCTTGAAGTGCCTACAGCGCACCAAAAGGGTGCCCCAAGACCTTCCCACGTGGAGGAAGGTTGAACCTTTTATTGTTCAGCTTAGAATGTGAGATGATGTAGAGGGACACCCCCCTATGCAAATTTACTCGGAAGTAACTTTGCTTTAGAACGTGTGCTCCTTTCCCCTCAGCTGATGGGAGATAAGTCATTATCCGGGAGCTCCAAAACGGTTTTTCAAAGTTCTTCTTTCCAACCCCGTGCTGGGGACCAAACCCAGGCCCTTCACGGAACTGAATCGTTAACGCCATCATATGTGGTCCCATCTTGACTACTATTTAGGTGACCTGAAAGACCCTGTGTGTTGTTTATTTCTTAGCAGTGGGACATCACCCTCAGTAGTGGTTTTGAGTAGGTTGATAGGTAGGGTGCTCAAGGTTCAGATAGGGTGCAGAATGGTTATTTGGGGTGAGATCAAGGGTTTTCAGTTTTATTTCCTTTGAGCCGAGTCAGTATTTGGACTGTTTCGGATGGTCCAGGAGCAACCTTTGTCAGTAATTTCATTTTTAGTCATTGTTAATTTTATCTATATGGTACAAGCATGAAATGTGATTCAATGAGTCAGATCCATCCATTGTCAGTTACTACGTCTAGACTCATGGTTTAGTCTCAACTGGTAAAAATGTGTATGGGTGTGTTGCTTGCACATCTGCCTGTCTGTGTACCACAGGCATGCACTGCCCACGGAAGCCAGAAGAGGATGTTGGATCTGGGTCTGGAGTTAAAGATGGCTGGGTGCAAATATTTGGATGCTGGGAATCAGACATGGGTCCTTTAGAAGAGCAGGCAGTGATCATAATCTCTGAGACACCTCTCATTTCAGATTTAATCGAGGCATTTTCCAAATGCACAGACTTCCCAATTATTGCAAATGATTCTCATAAACTTTATGTGTTAAAATTTGACTCCTATGAGAAGAGTCTTAAAAATAGAGTGGTGGTATGGGAGAGATAGCTCAGTGGTTGAGGGCCCTAGTTCCAACACCTGGTTGGGCAGCTTGAAACAACCTATTATCTCCAGCTCTAGGGGACCCAGTGCCCTCTTCTGGACCCCATGGACACCTGCATTCCCATCTTTCCCATATATACACAACTAAAAATAAAACCCTTAGCCAGGTGGTGGCGGCACATACCTTTAATCCCAGCACTTGGAAAGCAGAAGCAGGTGGATGGCTGAGTTTGAGGCCAGCCTGGTCCACAGAGAGAGTTCCAGAATGGCTGGGGCTACACAGAGAAAATCTGCCTCGAAAAAGCAGACAAACAAAACCAAAAAAAAAAAACCCAAACCCAAATGCAACCAACCAACCAACCAAAACAACAACAAAAACAGAAAACAAAACCCAAACCCCAAATAAAAAAACCTCAAATCTTTATAAAAATAGAGTAGTGGTTTGTGTATTGAAAGTATCCATGTACTCTTTTGTTGTAAGCTTTGTGCTTTAGAGTTTTATTTATTTGTTTTTTGAGACAGGGTCTCTTTGTATCCCTGGCCAGCCTGGGACTTTCTGTGTAGTCCAAGCTGGCCTCACAGAGACCTACCTGCTTGCCTGTGCCTTCTGGGTGCTGGAACTGAAGGCATGTAATACCATGTTTAGCAGCTCAGGAAAAAAAATCTTGTCATATTACTCTATGGAAAAGCTACATGAGTTGGGTACACTTGTGAAATTTATATTAATTTTCTTTATTTCTTGACATCTAGTTTTGACTGCTTTATGTCAGTAATTCAGTATGTGAAAGGCATATTTTTATACAAGGCAAGTTATACTGATATCTCAACTATTCTAACAGGAAAAATTACATATTCATACTTGGGACAGATGTGCACGGCAGCAGTCTTGAGTCTTTTCTCCTCCTCCTCCTCCTCCTCCTCCTTCTTCTTCTTCTCTTTCTTCCTCTCTTCCTCCTCATGACAGGGTTTCTCTGTGTAGCCCTGGCTGTCCCAGAACTTGCTTTGTGTATTAGGCTGTCCTCTACTTGATGGTTTTTCTCCTTATTGTGTAGAATTGTGGGATTTTGTGAGAACAGCTGCAGAAAAGTGATATTTATTACAATTTATTCACCTTGTATCCCCTCTGAAGCCCCCTCACTCTTCTCCTCCCATTCTCACCCAACCTCCCTCTTCTCCCCCTATGCCCTTTTCCTAGTCCTCTGATAGGGAAGGACCTCCTCCCCTTCTATCTGACCCTAGCTTATCAGGTTTCATCAAGGCTGACTTCATCATCTTCCTCTGTGGCCTGGTAAGGCTGCACCCCGAAGGGGGAGGTGATCAAAGAGCCAGCCACTGAGTTCATGTCAGAGACAGCCCTTGTACCCCTTACTAGGGAACCCACTTGGAAACTGAGCAGCCTATGGGCTTCCTTTGAACAGGATCTAGGTCCTCTCCACGCATGGTCCTTAGTTGGAGTATCGGTCTTTGCAGGCCCACACCATCTCTTTTAATGTTGAATGCATCCACCTGGCTGAAGGAGCGTTTGTCAGGTATCTCCACTGCAAGGTGACCCCCTCCTTTTCCACACTGTACTGTTGGGAAGGATGTTACTGTGTGTACCTTGCTGTCATAAATCTACCTTGCAGGGGGATTTATGCCCCACCTGCCTGAAGTTAGAACAGCTTCATAAGTGGTGGTACCCATCTGCCTTCTATTTGTCCCTTCAAGTATCTGCGGAGTCTGGAAAAAGCATGTACAGCATGGTAAGAGTTTTCTCTTCCACACAGAGGACATTGTAACAGGGAACACCAAGCCTCTATCTCTTAAACAGCCAATTAGCTATTCATCCTTATCATCCCTGTGAAACTTTACAGTTCCTCTTCTACTGCTTTTGATGTGCTATTTTTTGCTTTTAGAAACTAACAAACAACAAATTTCCCCTTTCAGTACTAAAATTAAAGCTTAGTGTTTAGACTATTTCTCTGAACTCCATATCACCCTGCAGTGGAGGTGCTGCCATGGCTCTGTGAGTTTAAAGCCAGCGTGAGCCGCTCATGCTCTATATACATGTATGTACACAAAGTTTATGTATTACCGAGACTGCCACCAAGGCACTAGTTAACATGAACTTGGGTTCATAAAATTTCAGTGTGCTTGCTGAGCTCATATGTACGGTTTTCTTCAGACATGGATGACTGATGTATAGTTCTCAACATTAAATCTCGTGTGTGTGTGTGTGTGTGTGTGTGTGTGTGTGTGTGTTGGTCTTTTTGAGACAGGGTTTTTTTTTTTTTTCCGTTATAAAGCTCTGGCTGTCCTGGAACTCACTGTGTAGATTAGTCAGGCTTCAAACTCACAGAAGTTACTCTGCCTCTGCCTCCCCAGTGACGGGGATTAAAGGTGTGTCACCACCACGCCTGGCTTCAAATATTCGTATGACTTGTATAATCAACAAAGTGATTTTCTAACAAGAATGAGTGTGAGGAGTGGGGCCACTCCTTCAACACCATTTGGCATCGTTAGGGGTACCCATCTGAAAACCGTCTGTTTGGACCTCAGTGTGATGAAACGCTCAGCTTTGAAAAACTGCTTTGTTGTCACTTCCCCTTTCCCCTCCCCACCCTCGTCGAATGTTTTCCTCCATAAAGGGTAGATGATGGGAAAGGATGTTGATTCGTAAGTGTCTGTGAACCGACACTTTCCCTCGATTTGCTCCCTCTACCCCACATAGCTCCACTCTTTCCTTTTCTGACACATCATATGTGTATTTTTGTCAAAGTGTCCTATTTAGAAGAAAGAAGGTTCGTAGGATTTTAAGCACAGGCAAATCAACCAGTTCTCAGAAAGGCCAGCAAAATGAGAGAACTGTCCCCTCGGCGTAAAAACCTGGAGGGCCGTAACTGCCGACGCACTTCTGAACTATCTATAAATCTGGACCCTAGGACTTCTTTCAAAAGTTTGTTTTCCGAGAAAAATGGCTCATCCTGTAGTCCCGGAGCTGGCCTGGAACTGATGGCAAATCCTCCGGCCTCAGCCTCTCAAGCACCGGTGAATCACAGCGGTGGGCCACCCCACCATGGGAGTGAAAAAAAAAAAACACCAAAAACTGAAGGGGGGGGATCTCCGCGAATAACTCAGTGAAGCGAATCCTCACTGACAGTTCTCATGACCCCCAAAACCCCCGGCCCCCGCCGAAAAAAAAAAAAAAAAAAAAATAGGTGCAGCTCCCCCGGCGCCCGCGGGGCGCATCTGGAAGATGGGCTTGCGCACCGCGCTCCGGCAGGCGCAGCGCCCTCGCCGCGGGCGTTTCGGTGGGAGGCGGAGAGCGCGCAGGGTGCCGCCGCGGCACCGTCTCCGCGCCGCCAGGGCCTGACGTCCCAGAGCCCGCGCCCAGCCGTCCCCCGGGCCTCCCCGCCCCGCCGCCCGGAGCCTCCCTCCGGCCGGGCCGCCAGGGTGTCCCCGAGCCAGCAGCACGTGGAGCGGCGGCCGCAGCCCGCCCGCCCCGCGGCGACATGGAAGGTGAGCTCCCCGCCCGGCTGCGCCGGGGTCCCCGCGCCGCGCCCCGGCTGCCCCCCTCGAATCTCGGTTTTGCTTCTATTTATTTCTCTCTCTGTGTC